CATCCGGAAATATCCATCTTGAGTTGATCGTACCGTTGCTTTCTCTTGAAATCTCCATGGTACTCCAATTCCACTGAAGCCTTGGCGAGAGCCAAACGTTGCGTGTCTTTAGATCTTCCACCCGGTTTTCAAACTTGCTCCCCCAACCTCAACCCCGAGACCCGAGAGCCCCACCGCTCGCCATAGCGCCCTATAGATCACTTCGGCCGCGCTTTATTTCAACAATTCGGCAACGGCTCAGCTGGCGGGAGACTCGCACTCTTTCGGCAGTTGAACAAGCGTTAACATCGCTCATAGTTCCCTCTGTGATCCGGTTCCTTGGTGTGTCCATATCGTGGATGTCTTCTTTGAAGTGCAGTGCGGTCGGTCCCTGGTGCGTGCATGAGTGAATGCGGTGCCAGTGTGCTTGTTGTGGGTCCCGATGGTCCCTATGAGGTAAGCTTCTCCCTTCCCCTTTACAGATCCCCAGGGTCGACCGGCGGTTGGGTCATTCCGAAGTGTTTCTTTTTTTCTCTTTTTTTTCTTTTCTTGTTTTTTTTTTTTTTAGTTTTTTTATTCAGGATGGTGATGGTGATGGTGATGGCGGGCGGGACTTTGTCTGAAGTGGATATCAGGCAAGTATAATGCCACTGGCTGGAAAGTATTCGTTGTCGCACACAATGGTGATTTCCGTCACAAATCATCATGGCGCCCATAACTGAACTAGCCAGCATTCCTTTCCTCAAAGAGGATTCAACCATTAAGAGATCATCGTCATCATCATCAGTTTACATACCAGCCTCTTGCTATTGATGACCTTCAGATTCAGACGTAGGACAGTGTTTCCAATGCTGGATTCATATAACGGAGAAGAGATCTTGTGCTCAAGATGTCATGGGGACCTGGAAACATGCCGACAAGGAAATCAAAGTTCAACCTCGTGTGTACGGCACTGGCTCTTCCCAAGCCTTGCAAGACTTTAAACTGACAGGAGGTTTCACATTTCACAAGTGATTCAAGCAATGGCGAGAGATCGACATTGAGCAGAGAGTGGTTGAAAGACTTCTTATATTGAAAACTTGAATATCAGGTATGATGGAAGTGATAGGTAAGGCTGATATACAGGGGGGCTTTCAGGACGAAACAAAGCAGAGTGCTTTAAAGAGTCGTGGCCCATCAAATTTCAGCTGATGCAGGCATATATGTTGTCGCGATATAGGATCTTACCGGCTCCGAGGATTTAGAACCCTAGTTGCGGGCTAAATCCAGATCAATGAGAGCGAGGATGCCGTCTCCTATTTCGTCAATGCCGAAGCAATACCGGAACAATAGGTATGATTGCCGTTTTTGGGTTCCCTTATCAGCTTCGCGGTGCTTATGGTCCGAATCGTGCGACTACTCAATGCGAAGAACCGACCTCGATCTGTCGACTTTTTGGAGACGACGTAATTGTGTGCCGAGCACGACTCTGGGGCCTCACATCTGGTAGTCGCAGGTGGAATTAGAACTTGGGACCATGAAACTACTCAGAATCGTCAGCATATGCGTCCTCGCTAGCCCAGCACTCACTTCCCCTCTGGACCTTTCCATCACCGCCGACTCCACAGCACCTCCAGCCAACGAGATCACAATCAACTCCGCCTCCACCTCCGGAAGCGGCTGTCCTCGCAGAACCGTAGCCATCACCATCAGCCCCGACCGCACCGCTCTCACCCTCGGCTTCGACGAATTCCAAACCTACGTCGGCCGACGATACCCTGCCTCCGACCGCGACAAGAACTGCCAAATTCGCTTGAACCTCTTCTACCCCGGCGGGTACACTTTTGCTGTTCTTGACGCGACGTACCATGGCTATGCACAGCTCGACGCAGGTGTAACTGGGAGCCTGAGCACATCCTACTCCTTTGTAGGGGGTAGACCGGATAGGAGGAGCGGCAGGACGGAGAGTACGACGCAGACGAGTCTGTCAGGTGGAGGGCAATTTGAAGCGGGATCGAGTTACATGAAGACGGATTCGATACCGGTGAGCTCGAGGGTTAGGGCGCCGTGTGGGAGGAATGCGACAATGGTGATTAGAACGAGGATCAACTTGGAAGGGGATGCGAGTGGGGAGGCAGAGGGGATGTTGACAGGGGATGATGCCACGTTTGCGTTGACGCAGATGGTGAGGGTTGAGTGGGAGCCTTGTAGTGAGTGATGCTTGTCTTGGAGTTAGTAGGGTTAAGTAGGAATGGAGTTGTGGTGGAGCGTACAGTGTTCCTGAGATCGGCAGTGTATCTTGGCGCTCAATAGATGAAATGCATTTGTGGACCTGGTCCGAGCCTTGGAAATCACCATTTGGGATGCGTTGCATCTCTTCAACTTGCAGGCAGAGGGGTGGTGTGCTCGCAGGACACGATCGCAAAGCAGCGGGGGGTACGGGGTTCTGCGAGAGAGAGAGGGGGGAGTCTTGGAAAAGTGGAGCAACCACCTTCGAGAAGAACTGCGGGTGAGGGGACGGATGCGAGAGAAGCTTGGCCTGGTCGCTCATCACATTCGCCCATCCCATTACCCCTGAATCTGTGTTACACATGCAGGGGGAGTAAACAAATCTACGGAATGGAGTCTGATGCGTATCTCATGTCCCAAACGGCGGATTTCCTCTCTCGGAGACATTTGGCTTTGCGCGACTCCTTCCCGTTAGTAATCAAGCCGTGCTTGTCAGCGGGGCAAATCAGCCGGCCGAGTCCCCGCTGCTACGTCAGATTTTGACGCGCAGGCTCCCACTGAATCCTGGACCCAAAGAGGATATAACCCCAAACCCGCTCCGCCCGCCTCCAAACCATGCCTCGAACCTCCTCCGCTCCCCTTCCAAGCCCAGCGCAATGAAGACAACCCCGGAGGGCACCATCGAGGTGCCCCCTCAACCCGGGCCGGCGGTCCAAGAAACTGCGTTTGCTGCTGACACCTCCGCGACCCTAACCGTCCTCGAACACGAGCCCCTCCCCGACGAGATCGCACCCCCGGTGACCGCGGCCCGAAATGGCAACGGCAACAGCAACGGCTACGGCAACGGCTACGGCAACGGCTACGGCTCCATCCACCGCGCTCCCCCTTCCCAAACCCAGACAACCACCCCGGCCTCCGCCGCGCGCGCCCTCGCCCCGGACATCCTCCGCGGGCTGTATATGGTCCTAATGGCCCTCGACCACAACGGCATGGCGCTACACTCCTGGCCTCACGGGACTGCCATAGATGGGGAATTTGACTCGACGCCCGTCCACAAGTGGAACCGTCCGCTGGCGGCGACGATTCGAACGCTGACGCACTTGTGCGCGCCGGGGTTTACGTTCCTGCTGGGTATGGGCGTGGCGTACTTTGGACGGTCGAGGACAAATCTGGGGTGGTCGGCGGGCCAGATGATGAGACATTTTGTGGTGCGCGCGGTGGTGTTGACGATGATCACGGAGGTGATTGGGTTGACTATGACCGGGGGCAAGGTGTGGTTTTTTAATATCGTGTTGTTTGCGCTGGCGGTGGATTATCTCCTGGCTGGGCTGCTGTGGATGTCGGTGGCGAGGACGGAGAGAGGATTGGGGTATTTGTTGTTGAGGGTGTTACCGCAGAAGGGAGAGGACGAGAGAAGGGAGCCGTTGTTGAGAGAAGGGGGGGGGGAGGATGGGTTGGATGTTGCGCCGGATCGAGCCATCATTCGTGCCGCAGATGTCTCATGGCACGCGCACAATGCGTTGCTGTTTGGGTTGGCGGTTGTGACGATTTGGTGGAATATATGGCTCAGCCCGACGGGAGGGTACTGCGGTGTCGAGCCGCGTTGGGAGAAGCCAGAGAGCGACTGGATTCAGATATGGTTCTGGCCTGTGGGAGGGGTGATATCTGACCGGGTCGTCTCTGGGTTTCCTCCCATGGCTTGGCTGTCGTTCGCAATCCTCGGGTTGTTGTACGGGCGAATTGTTCTGGCGCGTTCGTGGAGCACGAGAGCGATCAACGCGGGCAATGCTGCTGTCGGTGCAGCATTCTTTTCCGTCTTTGTGCTGACAAGGTTGTTGCACTTCGGCAACCTTTCTGAGGGATGCCTTCACATGCCGGAGCATCTGGCCCACCCGGAGGGCAACCAATACCTCCAGTCAGCGGCGTCGTTCTTCTACCTCATAAAGTACCCGCCGGATGTTGCCTTCTGGTCGTTGACCATGGCGGTCAACTTCTTCCTCCTGGCACTATTTGGCTCGATCCCACCCCGAGTGGCCAGCCAGGTGTTTCATGTTCTCCTCGTCTATGGCACATCGGCATTGTTCTTCTACGTCGCCCACATTTTTGTCTTATTCTCGACCGGCGCAGTCATGCTCGCTTGGGTGGGACACAAGCTCGACTCGAACGATACTTGGACGGGGGAGCCAGGATATGGGGTGGATCAGGTGTGGGCGATATCTGCGAACATGTTGGTGTGCTTGGCGGTATTGTATCCTGCGTGTAGGTGGTACGGGGCGTTTAAGAGAACGAAGGGGCCAGATTCGATATGGAGGTTTTTCTAGACATAGATTGTTTGGCGTAGCCGCATCGAGAATGGAGCTTGGTTGAGGATCATTGGACGCGCAGTGCCCCTATTATGAGCGTGAACGACTCTCCCCTATACGTATAGGGCATCGCAAACTTGGCCCGAGATGTCTGTCTGTCCTGCGAGCACCTAGGTAGGTAGGCAAGAACCGTCATCGCATACGCCGAATATGTCGTCGAGAGTAGAATGGCCCGTCCATGCGCCTCGCGATTATTGTCTTCCCCACCCCCGGGAACAATGTGAAATCGCAAGGCCTGCACTGCGGCACATGAACTCGCATTACAATAATCGCGGGGCTCAGCTTGTAGCTTCTCCAAGAATTGTGCGTCCCTGATGTCTATCGACACAGCTAAAAGAAGGCCAACTTCACAGCAACTCAAATCCAATTTGTGGCCTGACACCAAAAACCCCGAAAAGACGCAGAGGAAGCTGAGATCTGGAAAAAAAGAAGAGCTTGGCTCAGATACTGCTCCCTCGCTAAGGTTTGAACTTACAACCTCCGGACGCCTGCTATTCCTACGACTTCGTGAGAGAATATAACAGTCTGACGCGCTATCTGGTTGCGCCACGAGGGAATTGGAAGCTTCTTGTGTTGCTTGTGTGGCGGAGAGGGCAGATTGACCCATATCAGGGCCTAGGTGGCGGTGGAGGGTGATCTGTGTGGGTCAGGGGTCAGGGGGTTCAGTTCAGGGATGACGAAGCAAGCTTTTTGCTGAGCCGAAGAATTGCCGATTGACGCGATACTTGGAGGGAATTATATGCGTTGGTGACAGGGAAGCTGGTGCATCTTGAGCTTCCTGGAGTTTGAGGGCGAGTGGGTGGTCAGCCTGTTCGGGGGTGAGTGCGAGCCAGTGTAGGAGAAGCATGGGCAAGCAGTGCTTGCATTGTTGAGCGCGAGACTGCGAACTGTGGCACAAAGAAAGTAGATGAAGACCAAGCTTAAGAAATCGGTGCCCTCCTGGTGGCATTGCCACACCGACGACCGCATCGCAGCTCCCGTTGCCTCTCGAGCCCCTGGACCCCTTCTCGGGGATGCTCATGTTCTAGCAACCCAGTATCACCTGGAGACACATCGGTGCCTCATCGTTTCAGGCTGGCAACGATGAAGTTGGTAAGACGCACGAGGGCAAAAGTGAGAGATACCGTCACCCTTCTTTCGGGAGTGGCGGTCCGGGGATCACTACGAGCGTCGTCTGGCGCCAAGAACATGAACCGATGGGTGTGCCCCTGAATTGAAGATCACGTGCTGGACTGCAACTGATCCCAACCACTGGTGACACTCCCAAGAATAGACGCCCCGGATTTGCAGTTTCTAGACCCCGCTGGAGGGCGTAAGCACGCCGACGTGGTAGCTTAAGGCCTGGCCCACGACATATCCGCTTGTATTCGTCTCGACATCACCAGACGCTGATGTTCGATCCCAAGCATCGAACCTGCTTCGGTTGATGAACGGGTAGTGGGGGAAAGCAATCCCGGGTCCGTGGTCCGGTGGTGGCTGGGCGTCACACATCGCTTGTCCCGTCCCAGCGAACAAATCGTCGAGAAGGCGTTGTTGCATGCAGGGCAACGGTGTGTGCATGCGGCTCATCGGGATGCTGCAAGTTCAGCTGGCGAGCAATGTAAGCGAGTAAGCGAGCCCGCCGGGTTGGCTTCACGATGAGCCGTTAGGATGGCCTCACCATTATTCTACAACCAACGTCTGCCGGAATCCAACACCGCTAGCACCGATTGTAGCTTCGGGCTTGCTGTCACGCTTGTCCAAAACCCGGGGCACCAGCCGTGGCATTGCGCCATGGGGGAAGTCGCTAGGCGTCTCCGGTGGCGCCATTTTTTGGTTGTTTGGTCTTTGCGGCTCGTGGAAACCGGCGCACTAGGAAGTGGATACGCACCTGACGTGGTCTCGAGACCCGGTGTCGGGTCGCTGATAGGGCACTGATGGGCGCTGCATGACAATTTGAACGTAATAAACCGATTACCTATATTCGTATTGATAATGCATGGCCTTCTAAATAAAATCCGAGTTCTTCGTAGCATCAGTGCGCTTTAGGTAGGAAATATCAGTGTTTGATCGAGATTGACGCAAGACAGCAGTTCATGCGAGGGCGGGGATTGGTGGAGCGAAAGCAGCAAAATTCTGCCGCCTGTAGCGTTGAACTTCGCGTTTAGTCGCTGGAGCCTACTCCGTACAATCCTTTGACGGAACGGCCAACCGATACTTCCTTCCCCGCAGGAAACTTGCCCTCAGCTTCATCGACACGAACTTCCCCTCGATGTGGGGAGCTGGGGATGGATCGCCCACGACTGTGCTCCCATGGGACGATGCGCAAGAAAACGCACCGGCGCTCAAAGGGACCAAGATGCAGTTTCATGCTGTTCGAACCGATAACACCAGACGAAATTACAAGCTATCAGCAGCAATTAGAGTGGCAGTGAGCGACAGCGGTTCGCTTGCAGTTCCTGGTGCCGCTATTGCCCTTACCGGCGACGGCGATTGCGGTCGACCCTCCGCAGAGGCCTGGGCAGGAAAGGCCCGTCACGGGGAGTCCCGTGTGCAATCTCGATATCGCGCGCTTCACCAATTTGACAGCATGATTACGGGACCATAAACGGGTTCCTCGGTCCCTGACGAAAAGACGCGGGCGTGGGGCTCACGGGAGCATAGAGTGCAGCTCTGTCGCCAATATTTGCCCGGTGGGGTCGAGACCCTACTTGGAAAAGAACGAGGTGGGTGCTGAGCTTTCCACGGTCTCGGGAAGCGCCTGTGGGAGCCGTTGGTGTCTTGGCAGGCCCCGCGTTAGTGCCAGCCAAACTGGCCCCTGCGGTCTGCCTCTCACGCCTTGTCCGGGGCCATGGAGTTGAGGGCCGATCTCCGGCAACATGGGGTCCAGACCTCGTCAGCGCGAGGCCCCCCAGACCCAAGGCGACCAAAGCTCACGCGAGACTCGACGAGCCCCATGCGAGGCAGTCCGTGAGGTGTTCGGGCCCATAGAGCCAAAATTTCGGCGGAGGATTTTTGAGCAATCAGAGCGCGCCATTCCCAAGTAAAGGCATGGCACACTCCTTGCGTCTCTTTTCGGCACCTCGGAGGGAGCAAGCCGACTCCCAAGTTGGGGAAACTTGGGGAACCCTGGGGGCCGCGCTCCAGACTTAGACGCGGTGATACATAAGAGCTCGATGCTGCCCGTCGTCTGGTCTTCTTGTTCGCAGTCGACCAAGGTTCCCAAGACATCTCCAGTCCTCGACCTTCGCCTCGGACCTGGGTACGCACACAGCCAAGATGTCGTCACACGGCTCGCAAGATTTGAACGAGAAGCCGACCGCCTCCCACGGCGTCGAGCCCGTCGCCGCCACCCCGGCCGTGACTGAGAGGAAGGAGGGCGTCAAGGAGAAGACTGTCCACAATGTGAGTTGACCTCGGGACGGTGGCGTTCGCGTGGGAGAGACACGACTGACGATGGCATCCAGGCCGAGTTCTTCGCTGCGGTTACCGAAACCAAGATCAACCCTTGGTCCAGGACGTCCCTTCACCTCTTCTTCTCCGTCTTCATCGCCTTCTGCTGCGCCGTGGCCAACGGTTACGATGGCTCTCTCATGACGTCCATCATCGCCATGAAGACGTTCCAGGACAAGTTCCAAACCGATGGTGATGTCGGTCCCAAGGTTTCCGTCATCTTCTCCCTGTACACCGTCGGCTCCATGGTTGGTGCGCCCTTCGCCGCCGTTCTCTCGGATCGTTTCGGTCGCCGCAAGGGTATGTTCACTGGTGGCTTCGTTATCATCCTCGGTATGATCATCGTCTCGACCGGCGCCACCATTGCCCAGTTCGTCGTCGGTCGCTTCGTCCTCGGCTTCGGCATTGCCATCATGACCGTCGCCGCCCCCGCGTACTCGATCGAGATTGCTCCCCCGCATTGGCGTGGACGCTGCACCGGTTTCTACAACTGCGGTTGGTTCGGTGGTTCCATCCCTGCTGCCATCATTACCTTTGGCACCAACTACATGACCGACGACTACTCGTGGCGCATTCCCCTCATCCTCCAGGCCGCTGCTTGCTTGCTCGTCATGTCCTGCGTCTTCTTCCTCCCCGAGTCGCCCCGCTTCCTCATTGCCAACGGCCGCGAGCAAGAGGCTCTTGACTTCCTCATCAAGTACCACGGCAACGGTGACCCCAACTCCCGCCTCGTCCGCCTCGAGATCGACGAGATGCGTGAGGGTATCAAGCTCGACGGCATCGACAAGACCTGGTGGGACTACAGGCCTTTCCTCACCAGCCACAACGCCCGCTGGAGAATGCTTCAGGTGCTCATGATCTCCATCTTTGGCCAGTTCTCCGGCAACGGTCTCGGCTACTTCAACACTGTCATCTTCCGTCAGATCGGTGTCTCTAGCGTTCCCCAGCAGCTCGGTTACAACATCCTCAACCAGTGCCTGTCTGCCATCGGCGCCCTGACTGCTGTGACGCTCACGGACCGCATGCCCCGCCGCAAGGTCCTCATCTTCGGTACCCTTCTCTGCGCCGTCTGCCTGGCCTGCAACGCCGGTCTCTCGACCGTCCTCAGCCAGCAGCCCGAGGACAACATCAACCTCTCGTACGGCCAGGGTGCCCTTGCCACCTACTTCCTCTTCAACATCGTCTTCTCCTTCACCTACACTCCCCTCCAGGGTGTCATCCCCACCGAGGCCCTCGAGACTACCATCCGTGCCAAGGGTCTCGCTGCCTCGGGCATCATCGTCTCCGCCATGGGCTTCATCAACCAGTTCGCTGGACCTATCGCCCTCAAGAACATCAGGCACAACTACGTCTACGTCTTCGTCGCTTGGGACTGCATTGAGGCTGCTTGCTGGTACTTTTTCGGTGTCGAGTCCCAGGGCCGTACGCTCGAGCAGCTCGAGTGGGTCTACGACCAGCCCAACCCCGTCAAGGCCTCGCTCAAGGTCGACAAGGTCATTCTCGACGAGACTGGCCACGTCGCCCAGGTTGTCGACGTAGCTGTTTAATTGGACCCTCGCACCCCCGAGTCCCCCTCACCGCAGACGCGTCTCCTCACTGGGGATGGTTGCATTGCCGATGGGAGCAGATGGGGCGTGGATCTGTCGTGTATTCTTTTTACAGCGCAGCGCATTGATGTTGGAACGCAGAAAGGGCCACCTGAAGGTGCCATTTGTTTTCTCATTGGGTAGTTCTTGGGTACCAGATCTAACAAAATGAACAATTTTAATCTCCGTCATTTTTGTTTCATCGTGCGAAATGTCTTTTGGCGTGACCCTTGGTGTGGTTTGTTTTTCTTTGGGGGGGGGGGGGGGGTTTCCTTTGGGGGGGGTTTTTTTCCCACCAGGCCAAAGCTGTGGTTGGCAGCAACCCTACCGAAATTACAAGGCATTGGCTACATAAGTGTCCGGGATCCCGTCTGAGCCCTTAGGGTCGAGGTCGGTAGTTCGCCCCTTAATCCGTCGAGCCAAGCTCGAAGGAGCAGCTTCGGCTCGCTTGGAGGCGCCCTCTTGACACCTCCAAACATTGCGGAGTGACCGCCCGGATACCATGCCATGTGCCCCGAAAGGTCCACCGTTGGCGCCC